TATTTGGTACTTATACATAACTCAGAGATCAATAGTAACATTAATCCAAAGTGATGACTTCGATATTTTGATTCTTTTTAAAAATGTGTAGTTAACCAACGTCAAATAAATTACCTACGGGCTACGGTGCTTTATAGAAACAAATTGAATACATGTACTATAATATTTATACAATATGTTATACTCTTGATAAAGAATTAAACGAAGACGAATAGAAATGTCTTAATTGATTTTGGTCTAAAAACTTAAGTTTTTTATTTCGATTTCCCAATATTTACCTTAAACTTATGTAAACCGTAGTTAAAACCCATTATGTGCAAATTAACAATCAAATTTTCTACCCGTTGGATTAATGATCCCGCAAACAACTAATTTCGACTTTGATACAGTCTTTTCTACATTATAGGTATTATAATCATTTAAATAATACCGAAAAAACTCATTAACTTATTATTAAACTCGTATAAGCCAATTTTAGTTATTTTGTTGCAATTCAAAAATATTATTCATGATTTCACGAGGACTTGAAACTTTTATGTGGGTACCATATTTGATGTAAGTACCTATATTAATATATTGGTATATTTTAATATATATCATGGCATAACCTATCAAAATATTTAGATACATTTTAAGCTATTGCTAATTTATACCATGATCCTATTCACAATGTTCTATGGTAATAGTTGGTATTTACTAAAAAAATGAATAACAATAATATTGGTATAATGTATTATGTATAATATGATATAGGCATATATTATAATTATTTTAATAAATACATGCTACTATAATAATTAATTACCTATAAACTAAATACGATGTATTCCGCAAATAATAATTCAACTCACCTACCGTATATTATTAGTTATTACTAATTACTAATAAATAAATATATATAAAAACTATATACTTGATGATATAGGCTGGCCTGTCTCCACTCTGTATCGTTGTTTTTTATCGTAATGATTTGTCTTTGAATTCAAATTTAACACATCCATTAGTCAACTGCAGTACCTACCTACTTGATCAATGACGAGATACACTCGACTATCGACAATCGACAATCGACATTTACTGTAGTCTGTAAGTACAGTAACGCGGTTACTTACTTAATGGCTTTTTTAAAAATATTTTCCCTAATTTGACAATATTACAATATTATTTACTATGTCTGGTATATATTGGCATATAGTAAAATATTGGAGTTATTATTCAATTCTCAACACAATAACAATTGAAACACAGAGTTTACTGTTCGAAAATGAACGGTAGCATAGGTTATTATAACCATATAGTTTTTAGTTGTAAATGTTTTGATTATAAATTAGAATCATGAACTAAGATAGTACCTACCTATCGTATCTTAGTTCAATAATTTTAATATTTTGAATATTTTTTTTATATTATTTTCTTATAATAAAATATTGGGAGTCAGATATTAATTAGATTTCATAATTATATTTTCATAATCACCACAGGTTACAGGTACCTAGAAATAATAAAATAGATTGCTAAGTGCTAACCCATGATAATATAGTTGAAATCAAAATCACAATTTTCATGAGAATTACAGATTTTGTCACCAGAACATTCAGGCTCCTGCGGTATTGCTTATTTTCATACTACCTACAACTTTCAATGAAGAATTTCGATTAATTAGATTATCAATTTTTGTCATTATTATATTATTATTATAAAATGATCAAATGTCTGTAGGTTTTTATACAGTTACTTTATTGGAATGAAAACACTGTACAAACTTTTCAAATTAAAATATCTAAAACCAATAAATAAGCTAAATAAAATGTATGCTAATTTCTTTTCGCATTATATGGCGAGTTATTTTAGATTCTGAGTGAAACGATGAATGTATTGATTTTACAATGATGTGTGTTTTTTTATTTTTTATTTTTGTGACTGTGTACACGATAAGTAGTCGAAATAATGCTTCGATTTTCTTCAACAGTATCTTTTCTGATAGGAAAGTGAATATAGTTGGTGCATTGAAGAGGTCAACATTTAAAATTACCAATAGTTTTCACAAGCAATGGGAAAAACAACATAACAATTAAGGAAAAACGGGAATTTTTACGCAAAATCGGTTTTCCAAAAAATCGATTCTGGTTTTTGGTGTAACTTTAAAACAAATGACCGTAGATACATGAAATTTTCACTGGTTGTTTATGTTTGCATTTTCTATACACGATAACATTTTCAAAATATTTTGATTTATTTTGGACTGTTTAGGGACATTTTCATTTTCCATATTTTTTTAGTTTTTTTTCTAAAAATATCAATAAAATTTTTACAGCATTGGATATTCACTCGATTTCCTTATTTTGTTGTAATTCAAAAACGAATATCTATAGATACATGAAATTTCACTGAATGTTTATATTAGCATTTCCTATACACCATACAATTTTGAAAATATTTTGACTCTTTTTGAGCTGTTTACTGACATTTTCAGTCTTCAATTTTATTATTTTTTTTTCTATAAATATCAATAAAGTTTTATCGGTTGGGCCAAAAAGTGTAAAAATTTAATACAAGGCTCCTGATATATTGTTACAATATCAGTTGAAAAATATTTAAAATACATAGGCACAATTTTATTTTATAAGCATTTAAAGATCGAATTTTGACAAAATGTATCAAATTTAAAATTGAATAATTAATTTTTAGTTAATAACTTATAAAATGTTGAAGTTTTATATCTAAGGATTGAAAATTTAAAACATGATTCCACGTAAGTAGTTAATTCTGTTACCAAAAAATCTAAAAATACATAAGCACAGTTAATTTTTATAGTCATTTTAATTTCAAATTTGGACGAAATTACATAATAAAAAACCTAGAATACCAAACTATTTTAGTTATTTTGTTGTGATTGTATAATATCATTCGTGGGTACTTGAAACTTCTAAAGTACACTTTTATACATCTATGATAGTATCAGGGTTTTTTGTTGATGTATAACGCGTTATAAGTACATAATGGATATTGTGATATGATTAATTTGGAATTTATTATAGGTACCTACCTATTATATGTCAATTTCTTTTCATAGGTACCATATATTAGTATATAATAATATGTCTTATACCTAGGTCCTAGACAGACATACCGTCTCCGCTCAGAAATTGTTTTTCTTATACAATGATATTATATCATTGAATTCAAATTTAATACCATCCACTATACAGTGACCCACTTGTAACCTACTGTACAGCAGAGCACCTTTTTTGTATTGAGCTAGGTATGTTTAAAAATACCGGCATACCCTGCGGAAAAAGTCTGTGCACGCCTATGTATAGTACCTACTAAGCGGTACCTATTTGCTTGGTCCTTATTTTTCCATGGACAACCGCCAGCCAAGTGCTAACGCAAAATAATATTAATATTTAATATTATTATTAATTATTATAATAGTCATTCGATATTGATACTAAAAATAATAAACATTTTCCGGTGAATGTGATAACTGATAAGAAAATATGGCATTATAATATAAATAATTTAATCCATGACTGAGGGTTATAAATAACTTCTTGATATAATAATAACATAATTATTGTTTACGAGTTTACAGTGTTTACACATACCATTTACCAGTTTTACTTAATAACCTAATAATATAATATCCCGCTAAATTTAACCGAGGTGACTTTAATAACTATTGTTATTAAGCATCGTGTTGTGTGCACTCTTGTCTTCCGGTGTTATATTCAATTTAATTAATTTAAAATGAAGCATCAAAACTTTTATTATGTAAAAAACGGTTCTAATAGTCGAGGAGTCTGGTAAGTTTTCCATGTTAATTTTATTACTTGAAAAAACTTGCAATTAAATGTTTATTTAACATGTTTGTTTATTTTATTATGCCTTACAAGTTACAATATACTTAATATGTTTTAGTTACTACAAATATAAATTTGCATCGAAGTTTGGATGTCCTGGTTCTATTAAAGTATGTGTCAATGATGGAGTAAAAATATATTATTATTGTGCTTATTAATATTTTTGGTTGGACCGTTTTTTATTTACAATTTTCTATTGATATTAATTGATTTTTATGTAATTTATTTAGATGAATTCCGTACGGAGTACAATAGGGAGCTTGATCCACAAGGAGTAGAACCAGTGGTTGACGAAAATAATGTTGACATGTTGTTAGACAATGACCCAGGTAATATAAACTAACTACCTAATGGCTAATAGAATATTATTATATATTTTTATAATTTTATCACTATGCATAGTAAGTTTATATTTAATAATGATTTAATATTTATTAAGTATTTTCAATTTATTTTAGATGATAATGAAAACCTACTAGTAGACCCGCAACTTGTCGATGAGAATAATATGCATAGTAAGTTTACCGTTGAAAAATATGTTTTTATTTGTACACTACATTCATTAAATATTTTTATTATTATTTATACATTCCTTAACTAAATATTTTATTGGATAAACCAATGTTATAAGCATAAGTCTATATAGTTGTATATCTATTTAGTTGTATATTAGACTTATTCAGAATAGAATCCAAATTGAGTTAAGGAATTGATTCTACTTTAATATAATATTTATATTATATCAATTAAATATTATTAATTGGCAATAAAAATAATACAAATGTTGTATATAGAAATTAATATTTCATTAAAAAATACTTTGAACCCATTTATTTTAAGTAGGTATTATTCTAATCACTATTAATATTTGTTGTATATCTAACCTAATCTTAAAATATTTTTAAATTTACTGAAGAAAATGCCACTGTTTATGTATAGTTTTTGTTTTGTTTTTCAGTTAATGAGGAAGATTTTATCATTCCTGAAGATAGAGATCCTGATATAATTTCGATGGCGTAGCGCACAAGTGTGATAAGTGACATTTTCGTAATTATTCAGGAGAACCATTTTTAAGTTTGAGATGTAATAACAAATTCAAAAATGTAACGAACTGTACGACATCTATCGGAGTAAATAATGAACTATTCACTTACAACGTTTGGGCATAATGTGCAGAATTGTATGATTAAATTGATTATGCACTTAACTTATTTTTCAAAAAAATGTCACTTATCACACTTGTGCGCTACGCCATCGATTTATATGATGGAACTTGATGCTAGGGCCAGACAGCTGGATTTGGAGAATATTCCATTTGTACCAATCCAAATTGTCCTTCCTACCTTAGACAATCAGGATTCAAAATGTATCATATGCATAGACGCTGACAGAACACACGCATTCATTCCATGTGGCCATAAAATTTTATGTGGTGATTGTGTAAATTTGTTAGAACCAAAACGTTGTCCTGTATGTAGTGAACATTTCACTAACTCGATTAGAATTTGGTAAAACAAAATAATAAATACTTTGTTCATAATGACTGTTGTTTACTTATACACCTATGATATAAATTAACATCTACACATGTATAATACCTGACAGACTCCTTACATTGTTGGTATATATATTGTATAGAGGATTATGTTGTGTATATATTTACATACTCGTTTATATAATTATATTTATGTATAATGTGTATACATATAACTATATTATACTCCAAGTCCTAATATTAATTTATATCCAAACAAAGTAAATGTACCTATTCGATAATTATAAAAAAAGTTACCCCTAAAGTATGGGTGGACGTATAGGATGAAAAAAATAGGTATTAAACTTATTTTATTTTAATGTAGTTTTAATATTTTTTAATTTTATATTTATAGGCTGTGTAGAGGATATTACTGGTAAGCATTCAATTGTATTTGCT